TCCGCCGCAGAGAAGTTCTTTCATCAAGCGAGAAGGTCAGGGTCCCCCGCCCCCCCAGCCCTCCCATGCGGCCGCCCCCTCCCAAAGACCACCATTTCACCCCGAGTCGTTCTTTGACGGTCCTGGGTCCCAAGGAGGGCTCTTGGAGGTTGACAGAGGCAACATGAAATTTCGGGGCCCGTTTCCTTCATGCTAGATTTGGAAGAACGAGGGACCCGTTTAAGTTTTGGGGGCCGTTGTATTCTGTCATTATGAGGCCCCCACGCGATTGCCCGCGCCGCCTTCCTGTGAATCAAGCCCCAGCCCCTGACATGTTCCCCCGCGGGCAGTCTGCCACCCAGGGTTCGAGTTTTGGGTGGCCCCGATGCCCGAATTGAGGAACATTTGAGGGGTCGGAGCAATCAGTCCCCAGCCTCATCGAGATTGCTACTCAGTATTGGGTACTCGGGCAGCGAGCAGGAAAATGGCACGAGAGCGACAGGAAAACGCCACTTCCGCGATGGACCTCACAGGAGAGCAGCAGGAAGCCGCAGTTTTTCCCAGTCCAGGACATTACATGTTTTGATGTGTTAGATGTGTGGGCCTTCGCTACGATGTTTTGACAGACCCGATGCCTGAGACCGGCTCCTAGTGTCAAAGAACGGTGACAGACTGATTGTCTCGGTCTTTTCGAGATGCTACATGTCTGGGGTGTGTCCACCTGGGTGGATCTGAAGTCCGCCTGAAGTGGACGGATCTGAAGCACGTAATCCCCAGCGCGGCCGCCCTGCAAGGCGCCCGATCGGGGTACCCCGCCGTCACGCCGGGCGCTCGATCGCCGGGTGTGCTGCTGCCGGCGGCCGGCGAGGACCAGTCGGTTGCTTCCGCGCGACCCGTTGTGTTCAGTTCATTCGCGCTGCCTCCCCCCCCCCCCTTGGCGGTGTCGCTTCTGGCGCGAGTCGCGCGCAAGAGGATGGGGGCCACGTGACGACCCAAGAAGTCCGCGCGGATCTCAAGAATTGAGTGTGTTTATTGCAGTTGTCAGTTCTCCTATCCTTTTCCCTCTTCTGTAGTTTGGCGTCTTTCGGACATTTGCTTCGTGGAACCATTCGCTCAACGTGGACCCACGCAAGCCGCTTTGCAGAGCAGTGCGTCGACCGATTGCCTTTAGCAACCGTGACACAAAACACTTCGCACACGAACATGGTGTCCGAACGACGGCCTCCCACATGATGTCCAATTCAGGGGGGGGGGGGGGGCAGAGGGGGGGGTGCTAGGGGAGGTGCCAGTGGTTGTGCTTTCCATTCGTCCTTCCTCCTCATTCCTCCTCCTTCTCCCTCGAGTGCCGTCCTCATGTTGCTTCGTTTCGACCCGCTCGCGCGATCAGATTCCGCCGATGCAGGGATGACCTGACTTTTCGCGTAAGGGGATTGAGGATGATGAGGTGCAGGAGCGAAATGGAAGGGGATAAGGAGGAGGTGGAGGGATAATGCACCTATCTGGTAGAGAAGACGATGCCAGGACTAGGGAGTCGGCGGACGCCGACGATACACCACGCTGATCCTGGCCAGATTCACGTCCGCAGGCTTATTGTGCCCTTCGCTTTCAAAATTCAGCGGAGTATTTGCGTTGCATTGGAGAGTATACATCCGGTTCCATATAGCATCACTGGCGCTGTCCAGTCCGAATTTTGGCACCCCGCCAGCACGTGCAATTTGTTTTAGCGTTTGGCCGTTCCACGATTTCCTCGTCGGGCGGGCCTGGAGGGATTCGTGCAAACAAGCGTACCTGCACAGATGCTCTTGTTCCGCGGCCACGGCTCATGTTCGGCACCGGATCGGCGCAGCGAGTTTTTTCATATCATTATGTGTTATTATTTCCAATGTGGTTCTGTGATTGTTGTGCTCGCGGGCCGTGACATGTTTTCCATGCGCGCTCGAAGATATATGGATCCCGATCACCATCGGGGAGTCGGAACCACGCCCTGCATCCGAGCGGGTTCGCCGTGTCTCCCCTCCTTTTATTCCTTCTTCCTTAGCGAATCACTCCTTCTGGTCGCACCACAAGACGTCCGTCGGCCTTGCCGAGCGTTTCGCTTGAGACCTATTCACAGTCTTCAGCCGTGAAACTAAACGGATCAAACAGTCACACGGATTGTGGGCGGGTGTTCTTCAAAATGCGGATTTCGTCTTAGAGCCGCGTGCATTCGTTGCAAAAGTCGCAACGCTCTACGAGGATGGAAGCCAGTCTGTTTTCAAGTTGTGGCGCTCGCTTGAGAACATCGCAAAGGATATTTCCCGAGGATTCCAAGTGTTCAACAATCACCCAGATCGGGTGCGGCTCCCTTTCAAAGTGGGGCGCTAGGTTACAAAATCAGTGAGTTCTGCACTTTCTAATGCTCAGCATTTTCACGGATTGAGGGGACTCCTTTTCAGAATAGGGCTATTGATGGGAAATGGAGAGAAGGGGTATCCTTTTCAAAATTGTGTTTCGCTTGAGTGGCATGCCAGGCCCATTGGGCGATCGCGTTTCAATGGAGGCGACTCCGCCAGTGGAAATGAATAGTTGTAGGGATTGATGAGGAGGGGGCTTGGGACGTGAGGGTGTATTGCAGCATCGTTGATGAATCATGGCTGTACTTGGTCCTGCTCCTTCTCTTCCACCTGCATTCCCTCCTCTGATGTATGTTCGTTAGTGTTCGTTGCCCTGGCCGTTACGGGAGTCGACGCTCGCCGCTTCCAGTCCTCGTGTGATTTTAGGCTTGCTCGCATTTTGGCAGCACCTTTGTGCAGATGTTCACGATTGACAACAATCGTGGTCCCAGGGTCGGTGTATGCGCTTTCGTGGCCAAAACAGGAAGGCGTTTTAATTGATCCTGGGCCCAGGATGGGTCTCGCAAGGATCGGCCTGTTGTATAATTTGCGTCCTCTCAGGGGGACGTTCGGCCGTATCCGTTTCTGCTGGCCAGGGGCTCGAGAATTGCCCTGCCAAAGCGAAGGAAGAACGCCCGGATCGAAAGATGGAATCTCCGCATTCCTAGGAGTGCATTCTCGGCTGCTCGACCCCCCGCGCCGTCCGACCCCGCGGGCGTCACCCAGGACGATGACGCGCCCTTCCAGGCGGAGAGAAGCGACAGGGCCCGCGCGCCGGGAAGTGGAGGGCGGGAGGAGGATCGAGGATCGTGGGCAAGAACTGCACAAATATAACTTGTTTGAGGTCCGCGCGGGTTTCTTTTGTCATCGGCGCCGTCCTCCTCCGTCCTCTTCCTCGTCCCCTCCCCGCCCTCATTGCACGGGAGGAAGGAGGAGGAGGAGAGAAGGAGGAAGGATGAAGAAGAAGTGGAGCAGCAGGGGGAGCAGGAAGAGGATGAGCAAAGAGCAGGAACAGGCCGGGGGAGAGGAGGCGGTGGGGGAAGCAGTAGGATGAGGAGGAGGAGGTGAAGGAGCAGGCAATGGAAGGGGAGGAGTAGGAGGAGGGACCAGAGAAACCACAGAGATATGCATAGCTTCGCGATGCTGCAACACACCTTCCCGTCCCAAGTCCCTTCCTCATGCGCCCCTTCCACGTCTCCTTACTACAAGAAGCGTCTGCCCTTGAAAGACCAGCACAGTTTGGCTTGCCATGTTGGCGAGGGCCGCACCATGCGAAGGAACTGCCTTGCATCTTTCTCTGGCGCGTAGTTAGGAGCGCGAGCAAAACAGTGATCAGACAGTCAGACAGTTCTACGAGGTGTCCAGCGATATCCCCTTTCGAAGGAGGGCCGCCCCCCCGTGAAGCTGCTGCAGATGCTTTTCGTTGTGGTCATGAACTTCGAGGGAGTCTCAAGCACTAGGCCATGCGCAGGAAAAGTCCCTACGTATCTGTGCAGCGCTACATGCGTTGAAGATTCTGAGCCTTACAACTACATTCGCGGAGTCTCACGTGATATCTCCATTTTGGAAAGGGTTATCTTCCATCCTGTCCAGCGCCGCAGTGAAAACAAGTGCGTGCGACGCTAAGGCGAGATCCCCCCATTCTGAAAAGGAAGCGATCACCGTCCGTGAAGCTGTTGCAAGCTCTGAAGACGACTGTGCGCGACGCTAAGGCGTGAGCCACAGTTTGGAAAAGGACCCCCCCTCCATCCGTGGAGCTGTTGCAAACTTTGGAAGGTGGACATACGCGGCGAGAGCGCTATGTTGAAAATGACCCACCTTCCATCCGTGATCATGCCACAAACTTTTACACGGAATGTTCGCGGCACTCAGTCGAAAGTCACATTTTGAATGCGACCCCCCTCCTTCCGAGAAACTGTTGCAACCTTTTGAGCTGAATGTTCGCGGCTTTCAAGTGAGACCCACTTTCCGAACACGCCTCCCTCCGTCCGCGAATATGCTGCCAGTTTTTTGAGGCCAACGTTCGCGGCGCAAAAACGAGACATACAGTTTTGAAACCAACTTCTTTACATCCGGAAAGCTTCTTCAAACTTTAAAGCACGATTGTCCAAGGCGCTCGGGCGCGATCCACATTTTGACAAGGAGACCCCCTCCATCTGAGAAGCGGCTGCAAGCTTTTAAGACGAATCTGCACGGCGCCAAAAACGTGATCTACAGTTTGAAGTTGCCTTCTTTCCATCCGTAACTATATATATACACTACGTTTGTGCGCGGCGCTAGGGTGTGAGCTACATCTTGAAACAGAACCCCCCTCCAATCGTGCAGCTGCTGCAAGCTGTGTGGATGAGTGTGAGCGGCGCTAAGGCGAGAACACTATTTCGAAAGCGAGGAGCTGCTGCATTTTTCAAGAATGTGCGCGGCGCTAAGGCGAGAGCCACATTTCGAAAACGACGCTCCTATGCGTCCGTGAAGCTGTTGCAGATCCCAAACTTCAGGGTCATGTATGGTGAGGAAGTCTCAGCACGCCTGGGGGTGCGACAGGGAGTAGGTGCATACCAGGGAAAAGGGATGGAAGGGGGGGAGGCAGGAGGAAGGAGGAGGAGGGAGGAGGAGGAAGTCGGCGGCAACGTCGTCAGGGGCCGCGCTGTGAGCGTTCGGTGCTCAGCGGGGCTGCCACGCTGTCCCCGGGGCTGCCACGCTGGCCCCGGGCGCGATGCGCCTGCCGGCCCTGGCTGTGCTGGCCGCGGCGCCGCTTCGGGACACCGCGGGGCCTCCGGGCTTCTCCCTCATCCCCTCTCTCTCTCTCTCGTCCTGGAGCGCTTCCCTCCTCCTCCTCGTCCACGTGTCCTCGTATTGGAACTTCCAAGAGTTGCACACATGGAGCACAGGCGGCACGTAGTCAAAATTGACCGCTTGCCTTGGCGCCGTTCGCACTCGTCTTTGAACTCTTGTCTTGGCGCTGATCGCGCGCCAAAAAAGGTAATGGTGGAGACAACCGCGACGTGGCAGGCATGGCACTTCAGCCCCCCAAAAGTGAACCGCCAGGGCCAGGACACTTGCCCGTTCGCGCCCAGAGGGTGGGGACGTCTTGGGCGAACGCTTACTCGCGCCGGGAATTTCTCTTTTCAGAGCTCCATCATCATCGCGATGTGGCAAGCATAGCCGTCGGGTGCCCTAAGTGGGAACGACCCCGGGGTATTACATTTGTACGGCCGTGCCCATACACACATACATGGAAGAGACGTCTCAAGAGGAACAGTGATTCTGGCTCCCCCGACTCTTCTGTTTTGGAAGGCCCAGGATCAGGGCGATGTAGCACGAAAATCGTTTTGGCACTTCAGGGGGAGGCGGCCGCCAGGGGGTAGGATACTTGACCGTTCTCGCAGACTTTTCTCGGTCGTCTCAAGCGAACCGCTTGTTTGCCCCCCCCCCCCACGGTTCAGATCCCCATGATCACCGCGATGTAGCCAATATTGCATTTGTGGCATTCAAGGGGGCCGACGAGCGGTGTATGGCTGACCTCGTTATCCACTCATACCTAGACTCGGTGGCCGTCAGACCCACTCAGTCATCCAGCTTGTCTCCGTGCTCAGATACTCATACGCGTGGAACTCGTCACAATAGGATGCACATCTCGGGGTATCCGCGTTTTCAACGTTTCCTTGTGGTTCGGGGTGCAGGGGTCACGGCATAGCTCTCTGTCGGGCAGGAGATGTTGTAGGAGCATGTTGTTGAGGAGGAGGCCATTAGCACGAGTGTCCGCCCTGCGACTGAGACGAACATGGCCCGAATTGGTCAATAAGCGCAGCCCCCATGCAAGCCCGCCCGACTGCCAGCCTCCCACGCCGCAGCACCAGACCCATCTCGCTCGCCCCATCCCACGCCCTGCGACGGACCGCCGATTGTCCCCCCCTCCTGCGAGATCCCCCCTGTTCGCGGCCTGGGCGACGCGCCCGCGGCGCCGGCCTGCAGCCTGGGCGACGTGCCGGCCGCGGCACTGGGGGACAGTGTGCCGCTGTGTGTGTTCCTCTCGGCCAGCCCGCCCCAGAAGATGGCCTTCAGGGTGAAGGTCCTGCCAGCCTTGTCGGGGCGGATGCCACGGGGGGTGATGGGCCTTCATCGCAGGCAGAAGCCGTCAGATCTGCGTGTCGCCAATAAGCAGTGGCGTCAGTGTCTTCGTCGTTGTCGGCCTCTGGAGGCGTTTCCTTCCTGGTCCCGAGGTCGTCAAAAGACAATCCATTTGGCGAGACCTCCTGGGGCCGAGGTCACGTCAAATGTAGCATGGGAGGAGAGGGAAAAGCGGGAACACATCGTCCGTGCCCCTGCGACCCCTGTGCGAAGGTCGGTGGAGTCTGGAAGGGTATCGGAGGGTACAATTATACCGATATTCATACCATTCCTTCAATATCGCCCGCTTGGGCCTCTTGGGAACCCCCTGCCGCCACGGATGAAGTCGCTCTGGAATCCTGGTCAGATCGCACCCTGGGATAGGTCCCGGGAACAGCAGCCGTGTAGTTTTTTGTTCTGGTGCCCCGAGACTAGGACGTGTCTGGGTGATAGTAATAGTACTTCGGGAACACTGGGAACTTACATTCCCGAGAATGAGGCTTGTCGCTGGAGGATCAGGACGAAGAGCGGAAATGGGGGAGACGCACGAGGGAGAGGAAGCGTGGCCGTTGCACTCCGTTGTTCTGTTGAGAAAGGATGCCGCAGAGCTGAGTGGGTTCTTGAATTCAAGTTGCATGCCCTCTCCGCTTTCCCTGCGGGTAACGTGCACTGTGCAGGGCCACCTTTCCCCATTTTTTTTCCCAGCACACGTGTTTCATCTTTCCCACTTTGTCTTCTGGCCACCTTGCCACAGCGAGGGGGTTGGATCGTATGGATATCTTAGTCCGCGACGTTTCGCGCTTCCTGGGAGCCTCTTGGAGACAGCTCGGAGGCCTCCTTGGGCCTCTTGAGGGCCTTTGGAGGCTCCTTGGGAGGCTCTTTGGTCGCCTGAGGGTGTTTCTAGCTTGTTTGACAGCGTCGGGCGCCGTCCTGGGTGGCCTTTCCTGGCCGACTTGGGAGTCTCTTTGGCCGTCAGGGGGCAATCTCGGAGGCCTCTTGGGCGTTCTTGGGGGCATCTTGGTTGCCTCTGGGGCCGTATTGGGCAGTCAGAAAGCTGGCACTGAGCAAACGCAAACATCTTGACCCAATGTATGGGACATCATTGAGTTTGGCCTCTTCGGGCCTTCCTGGAGGTCCTCTTGGGGGCTTCTTGGGCCGTCTTGGAGGTTTGTTGGGACCGTCTTGGGCGATCATGGTGGCTTGTGGACTTGGAGATATCTTGGACCTTGTTGGACAGTCGTGGAGGCCATCATGGCGGATTATCTTTGACGAGCTTGGACGCCATCTTATGCCATGTTGGCCAACTTGGGGCCATCCTGGGGCCGTCTTGGGCGGGACAACCCACGACATGTCGAGACCCCACTAGGAGTTCTGTAGAAAAGAACCCACACTTCTTCAGAAATTCTTCACGTTTCGGGTGTTTCCACCAGCGTCCGTAGCCCTTTGGCTCAAGCCGTCTCGGCCCTTGCTCAGGTTCGGCGTTCGGGACCGGGTGATGAGACTGCGGCGGCGCGGCGGCGCCGGCAGATGCGCGCGGCTTTCCAGCGCCGCTTGGAAGCTGCGACCGCGGCCTGCGACTGCCCGCCGGGGCTCCCCAGCGCGGCCAACGCGACGAGCGCTGCTGGCGCGGCAGACGCGACCGCTCCCCGCGGCGCGTCCGCCGCCGCGAGCGCAGCCAACGCCGCTGGTGCCGCTGGCTTGGGCTGCCCCGCCGCGGCCTCCGCCGCCAGCGCCCTCCGGGCGGCTGGTGCGGCCAGGGCGGCAAACACGCGCACCCCCGCCAGCGCCGCGGACGCTGCCGACGCCCTCGGGCGAGACGGCGCGGTCCGCGCTCGCTGGCCCGCGGCCGGCGCCACCCGCTCCCCGCGTCCGCGCCGCCAGCGTTGCGCCCGACGCAGCTGCCGCTGCCGCCGCCATTGCCTGCTCTGCTGCCGCCGCGAGGGCTTCGCAGGCCTCCCTCTGGATTCGCAGGCCTCCCTCTGGACGGCCGTCGTGGATCCAGCCCAGGCTGCTATCCCTGGGCACAGAGCGGACCCGCTTGGAGACAGTCGCGCATCTGAGGTTGGCGCTTCGCTCGACGACCGCTGCAGATTTGAAGGTGACGTTTCGTTTGCAGACAATCGCCAATCTGCTGATATCCTGGATTTCGTATCTCACCGCGCAGCCGTTAGCTGCAGCAGTCGCCATGGAGAGCTGCAGACAGAACAGGCGGTCGTCAGCCACGGCGGGTCGGTCCTTCCTTCTCCTGGAGGCAGGCATACAGGCGCCCCTCCAGCTACCCACTCCTATCAGCGTCCCAGGCACAGTGTCTTCGTGGAGGCCGACGATGCGTCCGAAAGCGCGCCTCTCTCTGGAAACGTGGCGACAGTTTGGCTTGCTGCAGGGGGCGAGCGCGCGCTCGAAGACGTTCCTCACAGAAAGGGCAGTCAGGGGCTTGTTTCCGAAAGCGCGGCCGTCAGCTGCAACAGACCGCAAAGAGAACTCCGGACCGAACAGGGTTTCGCCTGCCGCGGCGTGCCAGTCCCACCCTCTCCTCGAATCGAAATAGGCAGACCGTCATCCCTGCTGCTCCTCACGCCTATCAGCGCCATCGGGGCAGTGTCGTTGTGGAGACAGAAGATGCGACCCGAAACTCGCCCCCCCCCCCCCCCCTGGAGGCAGCGCCGCGGCGATGGGTGGGCGCGCTGCAGAGGGCGCGCCCGCGCTCGGAGACGTTGACTTCGCCTCCGAAAGCGCAGCCGTCAGCGGCGACAGTCCGCGAAGAGAACTCCAGACCGAACGGGGCGTCGCCAGCCGCAGCGCGCCGGTTCCTCCCTCTCCTGGAGGCAGGAAGGCGGGCCCCAATAGTGCTCCTCACTCCTAGCAGAGCCCCTGGGGCAGCGTCGTTGTGGAGACAAGAGATGCGACCCGAAGCGCGCCCCCTCCTGGAGACAGCGCCGCGGCGACAATTGAGGGCACTGCAGAGGGCGCGCCCGCGCTCGGAGACGTTCCCCACAATTCTGACAGTCGGGGAGATGCGCCCGAAAGCGCGGCCTTCCGCGGCAAAAGTCTTATGGGAGGGCTCGAAACTGATCGGGCGGTCGTTCGTCACGGCGCGCCGGTCCCTCCCCCTCCCGAAGACAGGCAAACGGGCGCCCGTGGTGCTCCTCGTTCCTGTCGGCGCCCCTGGGGCAGCTTCGCGGAGGAATTCGAAAATGCGTTCGAAAACGCGCCCGCCGCCCCCCCCCCCCCGGAGACAGCGTCGCAGCGATGGTTGGCAGCGCTGCAGAGGGCGCGCCCGCGCTCGGAGACGTTCCTCGCAAAATAGACAGCCGGGAGCTTGTGTCCGAGGGTGCGGCTTTCAGCTGCGACAGTCCCCTGGGGGAGCTTCAGACTGAACGTGCGGTTGTCTGCCTCAGCGTGTCGGCCCCTCCCCCTCCTCGTCGCAGGCGGATCGCCTTCCTTGCTGCTCCTCGCCCCCATCAGCGCCATTGGGGCAGCGTCGGCGCGGAGGCTGCAGATGCGACCCGAAGCGCGCCCCCCCCTGGGAATATTGCCACGGGGACAATTGCGGGCGCTGCTGGGGGCGCGCCCGCGCTCGGAGACGCTCCTCCAGAACGCGCCCGCGCTCGGAGACGTTCCTCGCAAATCAGACAGTCGCGAGGTTGTTTCCGAAAGTGCGGCCTTCAGCTGCAACAGTCCTTCGGGGGCGCCACAGACCGAGCTCGCGGTTGTCAGCCACGGCGCATCTACTTCTCCTCCCCCTGGAGACCGGCAGGCGGACCCCCGTAGTACTCCTCGCTCCTATCAGCGCCCCTGGGGCAGGTTCGCGGAGGAACCCGCAAATGCAGTCGAAAGCGCGCTCCCTCCTGGAGACAGCATCGCGGCGATAACTGGGGGCGCTGCAGGGCGCGCCCGCGCTCGGAGACGTTCCTCCCAATTCAGACGCTCAGGAATTTGCATCCGAGAGTGCGGCCTTAAGCTGCGCAGGTCCTCTGGAAGAGCTCCAGACTGATCGGGCGGTCGTTTGCCGCGGCGCGTCGGTCCCCCCCCCTCCTGGGGGCCGGCAGGCGGGCCCCCGTAGCGCCCCTTACTCCTGCCAGCGCCCTTGGGCAGGTTCGCGGAGGAGGCCGGAAATGCGTTCGAAAGCGCGCCCCTTCCTGGAGACAGTGTCGCGGCGATGGTTGGGGGTGCCCGGGGCGCTGCAGAGGGCGCGCCCGCGTTCGGAGACGTTCCTCGCAACTGTGGCAGTCAGGACTTTGTTTCCGAGAGTGCAGCCCTCAGCTGCGACGGTCCTTTGGTTGCGCAACAAAACGAGCGCGCGGTCGTCAGCCACGGCGCGTCGGCCCTTGCCCTCCCTGGAGACCGGCAGACGGGCCCCCATTGCACTCCCCGCTCCTATCAGCGCCCCCAGCCCCGTGGCAGCTTCGCGGACGAGGCCGGAAATGCGCTCGAATGCGCGTCCCTTCCTGGAGACAGCATCGCGGCGATCTTGGGGGGCACTTCAGGGCGCGCGCCCGCGCTCGGAGACGTTTCTCACAACATGGGGGGCTCAGGAGCTCGCATTTGAAAGCGCAGCCGTTAGCTGCAACAGTCCTTTGGGGGGGCTTCAGACTGATCAGGCGGTCGTCAGCCAAAGCGCGTCGGTCCGCCCCCCTCCTGGACACAGGCGGACTGGCGCTCCTACAACTCCTCACTCCTGTCGGCGCCCGGGGAGCCGAGTCTTGGCGAAAGCCGAAAATGCGCCCCCTCCTGGAGACAGCGCCGTGGCGACAGCTCGGACTGCTGCAAAGGGCGCGCCCGAGATCGGGGACCCCCCGCGCGACCCGGGGCGCTCGCGACCCGATGGCGCGCCTGACTCCTGGCTGCGCGCGCGGGCTACAGACGGGCGCGTCTTCGCGATCGGCGCAGACGCTCTGGCCAACGCCTCCGAAGCCCCCACCCTCGTGGCTGACGGCTATTATGGGGCCCTCCACCTGGAAA